TTTGTGGGAAATGATAGTCATTCGTTAAAATCTGACATTGTTTCGTTCTAGGTGCTCCAAAGATATGTTCAGAATTTTTTCATGTATCGCCATTTTACTCTTGAGGAAACGATGAAATTCTGAAAAAAATATTTAAAAAGAAAGTGCCTCAAATCGAGACTGGAAAATGAGACAGGATCTTTGCTCCGTTTTATAATAAATATCGAACAGGATTTTTTCAGCAATTTCCTGAACCATGATAGACGAAATTGCAGTAACTCTCAAGATAACCCCTTCACATACGACAGCGTTTTTTTTTGTTTTCTTTAAGGTAACTCACCAGAGCTTTGTTAGAATGAAAATAAAATCTTAGTAAAATCGAGACAGAATCGTATAGACTGCTACATTATCAACAATAACTTCACGTTTAATTCTGCGTTTTAAGCTGAAAATTCGAAAGAACTCTATGAAATTCATTCAGGATATCGAAATCAGTTTCTTCTTCAATGCAGAAGATAAGCTGGTAGCCGACAAAGATAGTGTTTATCTATGCAACGTCTACAGATGAATTTTAAATATTATATGATTTGGCTCGAAAACAGCTTCAAAATCAAACGAAGTTTCGGAGATTCGTAGAAAAGTCCAAGAAAAAAACGAAGAATTTATAAATATTCGAGATAAATTTGCACAAATCACGAGGGTAGCAGGAATATCGAGAAAACATAGAAAAGTATAATGTGGAATAAGATCGTAAATTTGTCATCCTTCTTGGTCACACTCATAATAGACCAGCAAGTTGCGGCATGACGTTCAGCACATTTTTGTGTATTTATTTTCTCTTTTCTAGAATGTAGAAACCACTGTGCAAACACTAAGCCGATGGATCCTGAGAGAGATTTTGTGGAGCATTTTGCAGATCTAATATGGAAGTTGTCAAATTTCTTTATTTTAACGGCAGAGCCCTGCAACCTATACTGGCATGCGAAATTTTAAGTTCTTCATAGATCTCTATTGAAAAAAGTGAACAATGAGCCACATGTATCTTCAATCTCCATTATACTTAGCACATATACTGTTATTTGATTGAAAAGCAAATGAATTACTGGACCCTAATCGATGAATTCTCTGTCAAGTTTCGAAATATTGCACTCATGTTTGAAACAGTAAACTCACCATATGTCACTGCTATTAGATTCAGTTGCAAAATCATTCCAGAAAGTTCAGCGCAAATCACAGACATTAGTACCGAGACACTTAATGCAGGAGACATATTTGATAAATGATTGTTAACGAGTTTGATTCGCGCTTGCGCAGTTGGATTTGCACTGACGGTAGTTTGTGTCAAATGAAATACAAGCCAGTCGATAAACTGTGAGAGCTTTACGCTGGGGATCCTGATTTAGGTGATGATGACGTAGAGAATTCAGATACTCATACAGTATGGTATATTATTCAAAATAATATGCCATCATATGAGCGTATGTTCGATACCCTACGTGGCGGCGAGGGCGTTGTTTGCTACTTAAATCGATGTAGTAGCAAAACAAAAGAAAAATCACGAAATGAATTCATGTAGAGTAAAAGACAGTATTGCGCTAGTTTTTAAACGCCCTACACATCTACTTGCACTATTAAACAGTACTAATGGAATTGTGCAATATCGATTGCTGCCGAGATATAGTAGTGTTCTGCAGGATTAATTATTGCAGAAATCTTCTGCAAAGGTAAACTTGGAAGTTTTCATGATGTATCTTGCTAGAAGTATGATTTATCCATTCCATAATATTACTCCTGTTAAAATAGCATTTTTAATGCAGGCATTGGCGATATTGTTTTCGGTGGCATCTATCAGGTGCTTCATGCTGCTTCGAACAAGCCTCTGGATATCTATCAGAGAGGCACACATGATGGCGCCAATGTTCAGATTTTCTCCAATCACATGAGCGATAATCAACTTTGGGCCATCCATGAGAATGCAGATGGTACCGTCAAACTGATTAATCCGAAAAGTAGTAAGGCATTGGATGTGTCCGGAGGTGGTAGTTCCGATGGCACTAATGTCCAAATATACACAGACAATGGAACAAATGCACAAAAGTGGCACCTCCAACCAGTTGGAGATGGAAAATATAAGTTAATTAATCCCAGATCTAGCAAGGCGCTCGATGTTACAGGTGGAGAAACATCCGATGAAACAAACGTCCAAATTTGGTCGGACAATGGTACGCCGGCTCAACAGTGGCGACTAGTTCGGTACGACAATAAAAGTAAGTGCTTTTGTCATCAAAAGAACCCTATATGGCATTAATTAATAGTTCGTCTAATCTTGCGTCATTTATCATCGCATTACAATAGTCATCAGTTACCACTTACTAGCAACAGTCATATCAATACAACTTTTCTAGATATTAAACTTGAAAAGAATTTCGAATTTGTTTCGATTTTCGAAAATTCCTTGTTTTTCTAAAAGGAAATCAAATCAAAATCAATAAGTTTATATCTGCACAAAGAAACCTCGTGGTTTAGAGTATGTTTGAGAAAAATACTCAAGAGTTATAGCACGTTCTCTATCAAAGAAGAAGAAGACAGTCTCATCCATAGTTCGTCAAGCGAATGGTCGTGGATGTTGATCTGCTTACAGAGATAGGTCTGACTTGATGTCGTTGTTGTCTAAACTGGCATCCCTCATGTGCTCTCCCACTGCTTATTGAATAAGCAACTGTCTGTTGAAAACTTTGCAAAAAAAAACAGAGTTTTTCATACGCTGAAAAGAAACGACAGGAAAAAGACTTTGATAATCCTCATCAAAGCCAAGTAGAATGCGCCATGGTTCTTTGCTTTTCGTTAAACGTGAGATTTGAATTTTTCATTTTGGATATAAAACTGATTCTCAAAACGTAAATAGAATTGCAATCATACAGACCGAAAAATTCTACTTTCTCGATTACCAAATGCTGTTTTGGCCAGGTACTGTTATTTCAAACTGTAACAGACGCCTCGGTAGGCCAAAGAGAATGCAAACTTTCAGAAATTTCGATTGCTTCTGAAGTTGCAGCTTTTTAAGTTTCACGAGTTGCCCAGCATACGAATAAGATTCATCAAGGCTCAATTCACTGGATGCTAGACTAAAGAGATAAAGATAAGCAGTGTGTGGTTGTGGGATGTAAATCATCCTTTCAATTGCATCTACACTCAAATCTCACATCCATCCACATCTACTCTAGGATAATTCATTTAAAAAAGTAAGACTGATTGTATCAACTGTTACTTTCTTTCGTCTAATTCAAAGATAATGGAAAACAAAACTCATTTTTTTATGGTATGGATACAAAAGAACAAGAAATATTTACCCTTATTAATAATTATCGTCAACAAAATGGTTTACCATTACTTCAACCATCTGTTAATCTTGCTTATGTTGCTCACACACATGCTATTGATATTATTGAAAATAATCCGGATGTTAATGGTGGTAATATGCATAGTTGGAGTAATAAAGGCAAATGGAAATCAGTTAAATATACACCTGATCATGCACAAGCACAACTAATGTGGAGCAAACCATCAGAAATAAGTAATTATAAATTTAATGGCTTCGAAATCTCACTTAGTTATGCTAAAAATATAAGACAAACAATGTCAGTTAATCCAACAGAAGCTGTTAATACTTGGAAAAATAGTCCGGGGCATAACAATGTTATACTCCAACTAGGTACTTTTCAACATACACTAATGAAAGTGATGGGCGTCGGTATTTATAAAGGATATGCATGTGTATGGTTTGGTCAACAATTAGATATATATCCAGCCCCTGCATAGTTACTCTTACTACATTTTGAATACGTATATTGTTCTTTAATATGCAATCAATAAAAAAAGAAACTATATATATATTATTTCTTCATTCAGGTTTGCAGTGGTTAGATATGTCTATTTCCCTATTCTCAATCCCGATCATTCCTTCAGAAAGCCTGGAAGGATCTTTCAAGATCCTCAGTCTCAAGAATCTTGTCAAGTTTTATTCAGAAGGATGTGTGGGTGTCTGAGTATGAGTGTGAGTGTTATTTTAGTAATCAATCACAGCCGCAGGACGAATCAACTCATGGAGCAGTCAACAGATTATCTGCAACAACCTACCATTACAGCCTGTCGTTTCACTACTATGTGCTTCCATTGTCACCACTCTCGTTGAATTTCTCGAAGGAAGTTCGAAGTAAGTAAGATAGGTATCGCCGATCTGACCAAGCATGCACATAAAAATCTGATTTTCGAATTAAAAGTAGTAGCCTATTGACGTGGGTGGTCAGGCAATAGCGAGTGTTCAGTCGCAATCTTCGTCGAGAACAGTGAACTCTTTGTTGTTCCTGTACAATCACAATAACTGGTCTACGACATTAGTAGACTCCAAGTACGTAACGAAAAGATCATCAGCCCCGTCACAACTTGCTCTTGTTCTACTTTTTGTATCACTGCGGACGGACTAAAATGAGTTTGTGTAAAAGATAAAAGACAAGCACCCTGGTATAGTGGATATAATTCGATTACAAAAATCCAACAATCAATGCGTGCAGCTAAACTACGAGGTGAAAGACTCGAAGTCGTAGAAATTACAGTTATACATTTTAAATAAGAATTCATCGAATTTTAAGCAAAATTAAATGTACTAATTTACTTCAACTCTTGTAGAATAGAACTCGTTAGGAAGCATTGTTCTCTGAAGAAGGAATCAACATGCAAAACCTGTGATGAAAAATATCCGAATCTTAAGAATCGTCAATCTTCTGATGTTTCAGAATGTATACGTTATGGACGACCACAGGGTGTGGGTATGGATATTAGCCTTGAGTCTATCTCCGCCATACCCTCTTCACCTAGATCAGAAGTCAGACTTACTCACAGCCACCATACCTACACACCCACATCCTCAAATATTTGAATCAAGATCTTTTTTGTAGGTAGAATGCATCGGTATAGACATGGATGACAGAATTTTAGCTTGATCATTGAGCAGATCTCGAAATATTGAATTCTCAAAATATCCTTTTTAGCAGTCTGAAATTTCAGGACTTCCAGTAGACACTTCCATGTTTAAAAAATGACTGACACCATAATTCACATAACACTTCCTTCCATAATATATCTTAAGTTAAACAAAATGTGAGAATCTCATATGAGCACAGTGAGTAGTGGCTCATATGAGCTGACTTACACAAACAAGCTGTGTAACGACACGCACTCTCGACACCCACACCTATGACCCTATGAAATAAAATCTATTAGGCCGGTAGCCAATCAGATATGACAAAGATTGATGTTAATATATCATACTCCTAAACATTTTCAATACAATAAGTTATGTTTTTTTTGGAAGAAACATGTTTATATTTTATACTGTACTAATAGAACATTTATTTGCACATAACTTTTCGAATGACTACTTTCTGCAGAGTAGCCATGGCTTTTCTAAATACACTTCCACCATACAGAGTATTCACGTAAGATGGCATTCCAATCGCAAAATAAGTAGAAATCAAAGCTACTTGATAGATAAAATCTTCAATTGTTATTTGTAATGCAGACTTTGGAGGATGGGTGTGGGTGTGAGTATGGTTTTAGGTCTTGTCTTCACCCACATCCGCATCCTCGTTTTTCATAGGCACTAATGCGACCTGGACGTTTTCATCGTCTTGTTTATGTCCCGTTGCCTGATGAACAAACACATCTTGAAATATTTTAAATTCGATTTCGTCATAAACCAATTAATCCTTATATTGAAATAGAACGTTTAGTTGAATTGACAAAAAATTATTCAGGTGCAGAAATTGCTGCTGTTTGTGATGAAGCAGGATTAATTCCTTTACGTGATAGTATTGATGCTTCTCATATTGAATGACAACGTTTCGAATGTGCTTTAGCTTCTGTTAAACTAAGAACAAGTAATGAACATATAAGAAAACTTCACAAAAAAAACAAAGGCGCAAAAAAAAGCAACGGTGAAAAGAAAAACAACGGCGAGCAAAATCAATAACGGTGCTCCAAAATAGACGTCAAATGATGAACAGAACACTTGCTTTATCAGTTAGGTTATGAACCAAGCTCGAGAACGAAGCCATTAATTTCACGAATTCTATATGTTCCTTATTTTCGAATCTAAACAAAAATTGTTTTATTCAATTTGTATCATAAATTTTTACTTTATACGAAAAACAACTTTTGTTAAACTATCGAAGATCTGAATTTCTTTAGTGGTGAAAAGTCCGTTCAATTCATTAATAACTAAAATTATTAAATAAAAGTTTCTTATTTTGACGAATAATGTAAAATTAAAAGTTACATGTTATAATTTGTTCTTTTGTATTTAAATTTCCGACAATGTCGATTTCATCAGTGTGTTGTGTCTAAAACAAAAAATATTTTGTAGATCTTGTTTTCAGTTCTGTTTAATAAGAATAACTGTCTGTGAATTCTAGAAAATTAATTACCTCGCCTATAGCCATGGAACTTTGAATCGGGTGAATATTATCCCTCTATTTCCTTCTTTTTGAGAGAGTGCAACGACCGGCTGGGAAACATATTCCATTATTTTTCATTGGTTAAATAATAAATGAATCATCACTTCCGTTCTCTTATTTTTGTCCAAAAGAAAAATTATTGACCGGAGTAAGGATAGGTTACAAAGAGAAACTTATATTTTTTTTTCTTTCTTTTTTGTTTCAATCACAAAATAAAGATTCTACGTTGTGTCTATGAACAAATGAAGTCGTCAAAACAAAACTTTACATCCACAAGGGTTGTATGTGAGTGTGAATACGATGTGTGGGTGTTTGGATGTGGATGGGGGTGGTGGTGTAGATATCATTGTGGATAAGAACACTTACATCCACACCCATACCATATTGCTAGCTCTACAAGATCTATTTATTGTAAAAACATGAACAAAATCGGTGCTATCTATTGAGCAACGTTTAACAGAAAGTGGTCATGGCTTAGGTGAAATGCCTCCTAAGCCTCCTAGGACTTTACTAATAGTACTATTACATCTTTTCCTAATTTCCTAAGTTGACATAAGTGTCAATTGGAATTCAAATTATAAATGTATAGCTAGGGAAACTTTCTCTTTCGGATTCTCACCCTAATTCACTGAGATCGCATGGTCCTTTTTACTTTGGAACCGATTTCAAGCAGTTGATTGTTCATTTGAATTCGTATTCGAAATAAACAACTCATGTGCATCCCAGGTGAAACTTCTAACAAACTGTCTGTAAAGAAGTCCTATCTCATTGATAAATTTATGATTCAGATAATTTTTTTTCTCCTTTTCAGCCATAGTAATAGGAAAGCTCTATCTGATTGATAAATTTTTGATTCAGGTAAAATTTTCTTCTGCTTTTCTGCTTTGCTGCCGTAGTGATGGGAAAGTTGCATCTCATGTATAAATTTATAATTCAGATAAATTTTTTGCTGCTTTTCTCCCGTAGTTATAGGATAGTTCTATCTGATCGATAAATTTATGATTCAGGTAAATATTTCTTTCTGTT